CAAAGGGTACAAGAGTTTACCCTAATGCAGCCTGTGTTTTGGTTTCTTGTTGATCTTTTCAGATGGCTGATTCATAACAAGTAACTAGTAACAAGTAAATATATTCCTTGGGGCCTTGCTCTGTTGCCCAGGCTGGAGTGTAATGGCACAATCTCGGCTCACTGCAACCTCTGCCTCCTGGGTTCAAGCAATTCTCCCACCTCAGCCTCCCAAGCCTTGGGATTACAGGCATGCGCCACCACGGCGGGCTAATTTTGTATTTTTAGTAGAGATGGGGTTTCTCCATGTTGGTCAGGCTGGTCTTGAACTCCCAACCTCAGGTAATCCGCCTGCCTCAGCCTCCCAAAGTGCTGGGATTACAGATGTGAGCCACCACACCTGGCCCATGGTGATTATTTTTATGTCTTATCCTTCTCCATGTCCCTGGTACCTAGTCAAGGGACTGGCATTAAATGCAAATCAGTGTTTGCCAACTAAATAAAAGCCCAACAGCAAACAGATGTCGGAATTCCAGAATTGTGGAATGATGGGGGCTCATGGAGGGTTTCATTACTCTAATGTCAAAGTAATGGGTTCTTGTCCTGGCTCTGCCACTAGGTTTCTGTGTGACCTCTGACAAGTCTCCTCCTACCTGTCAAAGAGAAGACAGCACGTGCCAAGGCCTGGAAGGGGGACAGAGACCGACGTATCCTGGTCACCGAAGATACCTCACTCTGAATCTGTTTCGTGCCCAGGGAAGAGATGACAGTGGCCGGGGCTAGGCTACAAACACTGGAAATGGAGATAAATAACGGAATTCAAAGTACTATATACTTAGGCAGCAAAATCCACAGGATTTGCGGACAGTGAGATGTAGGAAAGAAGTACTCAGGGCTTGGGTACCTGGGTGGGGTTCATCAGAGGAGAAGCAGATTTGTGGGAGACAACAACAAATTCTATTCTGGTTGTGTGGAGACTCGCAGGAAGCAATTGGATATTCTAGTTTGAAGGTAGGAAAGTATTGCGGTGAAGATGTAGATTTGAATGTCATCAGCAAAACAAATAAAGCAAAGGGAGGGTTGAAGCTGTAGAATGAGAAAATAAAGGGCCCACTTAGCACCTTCATCGTGATTTATTTTTTTTCTTTCTTTTTTTTTTTTCTGGACGGAGTTTTGCTCTTGTTGCCCAGACTGGAGTGCAATGGCAAGATCTCGGCTCACCGCAACCTCCACCTCCCGGGTTCAAGCTATTCTCTTGCCTTAGCCTCCCGAGTAGCTGGGATTACAGGCATGCGCCACCACGGCGGGCTAATTTTGTATTTTTAGTAGAGATGGGGTTTCTCCATGTTGGTCAGGCTGGTCTTGAACTCCCAACCTCAGGTAATCCGCCTGCCTCAGCCTCCCAAAGTGCTGGGATTACAGATGTGAGCCACCACACCTGGCCCATGGTGATTATTTTTATGTCTTATCCTTCTCCATGTCCCTGGTACCTAGTCAAGGGACTGGCATTAAATGCAAATCAGTGTTTGCCAACTAAATAAAAGCCCAACAGCAAACAGATGTCGGAATTCCAGAATTGTGGAATGATGGGGGCTCATGGAGGGTTTCATTAATGTCAAAGTAATGGGTTCTTGTCCTGGCTCTGCCACTAGGTTTCTGTGTGACCTCTGACAAGTCTCCTCCTACCTGTAAAGAGAGTATAGTCAAAAAATGGTCTCATGTATAGAGCTGCTTTTGAGAAATTTCACACTGATTTTTCTCTTAATCCACACAGCAGTCTTACTTGAAAGGGAAGTCGGCCAGACGCGGTGGCTCACGCCTGTAATCCCAGCACTTTGGGAGGCCGAGGGCGGGGGTCACGAGATCAGATCGAGACCATCCTGGCTAACACGGTGAAACCCCGTCTCTACTAAAAATACAAAAAATCAGCCGGGCGTGGTGGCGGGCGCCTGTGGTCCCAGCTACTCGGGAGGCTGAGGCAGGAGAATAGTGTGAACCCAGGAGGCGGAGCTTGCAGTGAGCCGAGATCTGCGCCACTGCACCCCAGCCTGGGCGACAGAGCGAGACTCCGTCAAAAAAAAAAGAGAGAGAGAGAAAGAAAGAAGTCATATTATTATGGACTCAAACCCAGGTCTGTCTGTCTGTCTGACTTGAGCCTTGGTCGTTACTATGCCTGCCCTCATCTATGTCTCACTCAGCAGAGATATCAGGACACTCCTGAGGTTACCTGCACATTCTTTCAAAGCATTGTGCTGAGGCCGGCAGACCTTCATAATTGGCCTAGCACTAGCTCTGTCATGGGGACAGGGGGATAGAGCTGAATGTGATGGAGGTTTCCTATTATTCTCTAACTTCCTTCCTGGGGACCACTGAGTTGGGCAGCCATGTTCTGTTAAATGACAACAGGGCACAACAAAAGTAATGACGGTGTTTCCAGATTTTTACCCAGATCTTAAACTCCTGAGGCCTGCTGAAAAATGAATGAGTACCAGGGTGTGAGTTTGTACACCTCTATATGTCTCTGGGCAACCAATCAGACAGCTCCTCCTATTACACTGGACACTTAGCTTTCAGCGATTTCCATCTTGCTAATGTGATTTCTCAAAAATATTTTCTGTCTTTTGGTGCTTTGATAATAAATGTCCATACATGGAATGTAATCATTTCCTGCTACTAAGATTCCTTCTGGTTAGTATAAGGGAGGAGTTCACCTTATTTGCATTTCATGATATTCCACGAAGAGCTCCCTCCCCCTTCCCATGTAATTTATTTGAGATCTGCTGACATGAGTTGTTGGAGCTTGAAGGGAATTAATAGTGTACTGCAGTGACTCCTATCCCAGGAAAACTTGTTAAAAATACAAAACCTCGGCTTGGCGTGGTGGCTCACTTCTGTAATCCCAGCACTTTGGGAGGCCGAGGGGTGTGTATCACAAGGTCAGGAGATCAAGACCATCCTGGCTAACACGGTGAAACCCCGTCTCTACTAAAATACAAAACATTAGCCAGGTGTGGTGGCACATGCCTGTAATCTCAGCTACTCGGGGAGGCTGAGGCAGGAGAATCACTTGAACCCAGGAAGCAGAGGTTACAGTGAGCCAAGAGCAAGCCACTGAACTCCAGCCTGGGCGACTGAGTAAGACTCCATCTCAAAAAAAATAATGATAATGATAATAAAAATAAATACAAAGCCTCAACCCATCCTTCCCTTCAGGCCTCTTGAATCAGAGTCTCTGGGATGGGACCCAGGAATCTGTATTCTTTCCCAAGCTCCCCAGAATGTTCAGCCAGGTTTGGAAACTACTGATCTACCCATTCTTCTTGTTTCACAGTTAGGGAATCTGTAGCTCTGGGAGGGGAAGGAACTTGCCCCAGTCACATCTGATATCAGTGCTTCTTTCTCCAATGAAGAGCATTAGGCTGGGAGTCCAGAGACATGGGTTCAAGTCCAGGCTATACCAGTCATCACCTCGGGCAAGTCATTTCACCTCTCCAAGCCTCTGCTTCCTTACTGTGAGAATAATGCCATTGTGTTAGGAATCAAAAGAGAGAGTGGCAATGGAAATGCTTTGTCAGGCTTTCTATTTCATGCACATGGAAGTTGTTAAGAGCTAGAAGCAGCCAGTGTTCATTCCTGTATACCACGCTGTTCCCTTCCAACAGAGGTCAGGGTCCTGCTGTGTTGGGGGTGGCCACCAGCCAGTTTCGGTGGTTGCTGGGCTTCAGGCCATCTGTTGCCAACTCTCTTCTCTCCATCTTTTGCAGGTGTTGGGATGGCCACCAACTGGGGGAGCCTCTTACAGGATGAACAGCAGCTAGAGGAGCTGGCACGGCAGGCCGTGGACCGCGCCCTGGCTGAGGGAGTGTTGCTGAGGACCTCACAGGAGCCCACTTCCTCGGAGGTAAGCCCCTAGCTCCTCCCCACGGCATTCACCATGGCCCACTGCCTGGCCCCAGCCAGGCTGAGGGTCTTTCCTTTGCATCAGGCACCGTATCTCTTTTGCCTTATTTTTTTCAGTAACTAAAATTGATCTGTAGAAGTAGAAAGTAAAAAAGCAGCATGCTGGAGTAATCAAATTTAAATATGGGGTTTGAAGTGTGACTTAGGCAAATTACTCTCAGCTGCAGTTTCTTCAGGTGTAAAAATGGGATAATAATAGGACCT